CTTCTACTGTTACAGGCAGACTAACATGGCAACCCGTCTTGATCTGTGTATAGGATAGATTACTGTAACATTACTTGTGGGACTCTCCTTGGAAATTGTTTGGAACTTGTAATTGGTTCACGATGCAGCAGCTGCATTTTTGTTTTGCTGAGTAGCTGAGGAATTTCAGACAGGCGATATATTCCGGAAGAGGAACGGTTCCCAAACGTTTTCTGGTCTGTCATTTCAGACAGAACCGTTTGAGAACTGGTTCCCTTCCGGAATATATTTGTCATTTCATACACAGTCGCTTCTGTCCCGTTTAGGAAATGGGGCTGAAGCGTTTTACCTGTCAACCGCTTCGAAGTACTCCTCAGTTTTCTCTCCCAATTCCGATGCGCTTCTTCCCGCCGTTTATCGCCCGCGTGGGCGATGTCCGGATTTTTTTAAACGTTTGCTTCATAGCGTTATAGCGCTATAACGCAATAGCATTATATCAATCCCATTGAAATGCATGGAGTGTTTTTTTTCAATACTGCTATAGCGCTATAGCGCTCTAAAGCGAACGTTTAAAAGACAAAAGCCGGAGATCGCCCGCAGGGGCGAAAAACGTTGGGGAAAAAGCGGTGCAGTCTGAAATGGCAAACCACTTCAGATCTAGCTCTTTACTGGAAGGGGAAAGCCATGTGTGAAATAGCAGCCCTATACCGGTTCACTTCAAAACGGATCATTACCGGCTTGAATCTGGGTGAAACTGGGTAATATGAAATTTATTGCTGTCTAGTAGCGGCCCGATTCAAGATACTCTTTGTAATCTTTTTTTAAAAACAAACAAACTAAACAACTTGAGGCTGAAGGCATCTGAAGTCTTACCTGGCAAAGATGGGGGAACGCGGTGAAAGAAAGGGTAAAGTGGGAAGTTGGAAGCAGGTATAGGGAAGTTTGGGTAGACAGGTGTGCTAGCAGGAAGATTGGGAGAGGGACCAACTGGCTGAGAAAGGAAGTAATAAAAGTCGGGAATGATGAATGAACAGTCTCTGGCCTTTTGGATTGTTATAATTTCTTATGTAGAGATGGGAAGGCCTGGGGGGGGGAATGGATTATGGAATGTTCGCTTTTACAATGATAAATAACATGTTTGTGACAAGATGTTCATATAGTTAATCCTCCAATATTATTTCCTTAAAAACTATGTAACATGGAGACTTTTATGTAAGAGTACGTAAAGTATCAAATCATTGCAATTCCTGTACACTGAAGATAAGCAAATACTGGAATTCAATTCAAATACTGAGAAAATACGGAGGGTACAATTCTCAAATGCAAGTGAAAGATGAATTTCTGTCTCTAGCGGGCACTGCAGTTGTCACAAGAGAAGGGGAACTGCCTGAATCCTCAAGGGAACCTATCGGTGCAGTAACTTTGTATAATCCTGTCACGAGTGTGTGTGTTGGGTGTGGTTTGTACTTGTATTTAAAGTGGCCTCTGGGCAGCTACTGTATCTCAAGTTTTCCTAATTCTTAAGTAAAGGATGAGCTGAAACCACTATGCTATGCTTCAGTCTCAGTACTTTATAGTTTCCTTTTTGCTTGCGGGCTTCATCTTGTTGGTATAGCTGGTGGCTCTGTTTCTGTCCTCTCAAGCTGTTTGTACTGTGGAGAACTAGGAGGATTAGAGGAAATAAGATAATGTTCTTGGTTTTGATATGTTGATGGTTTCTTTGGTTTTTGTTCTTGTAGTTTTTGCCTGCTGTCCTAAACAGGCAAAAGAGGCTCCTTATAGTTCAGGTGTTCTTCACGTTTCAGGACCTTGTAGTTCAATTTGTAACAAAAAATACAATTTAAAGAAGAAGAAGAAGAGATTGGATTTATACCCTGCCCTTCACTACCCAAAGGTGTCTCAGAGCGGCTTACAAACTTCTTTTCCCCTTCCCCTCCCCGCAACAGACACCCTGTGAGGTAGGCGGGTCTGAGAGAGCTCTGACAGAAACTGCTCTTTTTCAAGAACAGCTGTGCCAGAACTACGGCTTGCCCAAGGTCATCCAGCAAGTGCAAATGGAGGAGTGGGGAATCAAACCAGGTTCTCCCAGATTAGAGTCCGCGCACTTAACCACTACACCAAATTCAATGTCATTGTTTTCTTTTATTGTTGTTTTTGCCTGCTTTCATAAACAGGCAGGTTTCCTATAGTTCAGGTATTCTTTACATTCCAGGACCGTGTAGTTTCATTTGTAGCAAAAATAAAACAAAATTAAAAAGTACGTCCAATGTTATTATTTTCTGAATAAGCTGTACTTTTAAGATCTCAAACATGATAGGTATGCCAAGCCAATTTATGCAGACTGCATTTTATGTCCCCAAATTAACAAAGTGAGTTTCAGTCTGTAAAGAGTACTAATATTGCATTTTTTTCTCTCTCCTTTTTTCCTGAAAATGTCCATTTTTTCCTGGGGGGAACCTCCCCCCCCCCCCCCCCCCCCCTCTCATTTTTTCCCCGGTTTCAAAATTTTCAGAAATTTTACATCTCTATCCGTATGTTTGGGTCAGTCTTATGAAAAATAGCTCGGTGTCGGCAAGACTTTTACAGGTCCTCCTGAAAAACTGTTTCCAGTTTGGGCAGATGGTAGACACGGGAAATGTGGTTTCAACAAGAGCAGGCCTGGTCTCGGCCACTCGTTGCAACGTACCGATTTTTATGTTTCATCTCCCCCCGTGGACAGGGTCTGCTGGCAGATCCAACCACAGATGTTGAGAAGACGCCCCCTCCCCTGTATGCTCTTTCTCGTTGTTGTTGTTTTTAATCTCTTTAGAATAATTGACATTGAAAAGCAAGTAGCAGCTTGTTCTCTATTGTTTCCAAAATATCACAGTGGGAGTAATCAGTCTCAATCTCTGCAGGTAATTATAAAGTGCATTAGTTATGAACTTCAGGAGCAGTCCGGGAGCTACAGGTGAACTGTATGCTTAAGCAGTCCGACAGCAGTCCGGGAGCTACAGGTGAACTGTATGCTTAAGCGATAAAATAAAATAAATTATCACACTGCACAGAGAGAGAGAGAGAGAGAGAGAGAGAGAGAGAGAGAGAGAGAGAGAGAGTTGTTTTAACAAGCACATTGCAAAAGTGCTTGATTTAAGAGGAGACCCCCAGGAAGCTTTGATTGAAAATGCTGTCTGTAATTGTAGTTCCATAGTTTATTGGGGCCATGTTATGTACAGTACCGCTGCCAGTGTGAACGGGGTGCGCTAGCTAACAGGCAGAATTAAACCCGCAAAGGTCACGTCTATCTTATAACGTCCAGGTCACGTCGCTTTGGAAGGGATAGAATCACACTACGTTTGCTGTTTTCAGAAAGGGCTCTTTCTTTTACAATTAAATTACACTTTTCTTCATAAAGGAGAGAGAAAATATTATGGCTGTCGAAAGCTGTTAGTATCGATTGGGGGGGGGATGTATTTCTCCCCGAGCTTTCTCCCCCTCTCTTTGCTCTTATTATTTGTGTTTTGCTTTATAGAATAAATAGCATCGCAGAGTGTCTTCTCCCCACGCCAAACACACATACTGCTTGCTTCAGACAGGACAAAGCAACTTGAGAATGTGGTCCAATTGGACACTTCCCCCCCACACTCAAACCCCCCCCCCAAAAAAAAAACTTTACTGGGGTACATCTTTGATTTTCCTTAAAATAGGCTAGGAAATCACTTTGCTTTCTCCGATCTATATCAACACTGCATCAGCTTTACTTGATGAATGACTTGAATATTCAGAAGCCAGGAGGTCGCCACTGATCCGTCTGTGTGCATGGAATAATGAAAGTTATAAATCTGTTTTTGCCCTGCCTCTCTAAGTGTTTTGGTTGAAAAGGAATAAGGATGAAGTTTTCAGAAAATATCGCTTTGACACCTGTTTTTCCAGTGGCACACAAGTAAGCTCATTTGTCCAATTGTGATATTTTTGGAGACGGCGGGGCGTTTGTCTGGCGCTTATTGATAGCCTCTCGTGGTTCCAGAGGGTCCATTTGCTCGTTAGAAAGCCCTTTACCGGCAAAACGAATCGACTGCAAACTCTCTCCTAACAATTGCAGAGCTATATAAATACCTTCCATGCATGGTGAGGATGAAGAAGGCAAGTGGAATGTGGGCGTCAGTGCATTGGAGTTGGGTCAAAAACTTCTTAAACCAGGAAGCCTTCAACCGTCTCTCTGCACAGAAATCTTAAAATAAACTCTGATCTCATTATGAGCAGAATAGCGGCAAAGACACATTGTCTGTCTGAATCTTAAGGTGAGGCAATAGCTACAGCTCCTAACATTAGTGGAAGGTCTCGGCCTCTGTGCCCTGTTGTTGGACCTCCAGGAACTGGTTGGCCAAAGTGTGAGACAGGATGCTGGACTAGATGGACCACTGGTCTGATCCAGCAGGGCTTATTTCAAGTTTCTATGAAGGCCTTGGCCTCTGTGCCCTTTTTTTGGAACTCCAGAGGAACTGGTTGGCCAGTGTGTGAGACGGGATGCTGGACTAGATGGACCACTGGTCTGATCCAGCAGGGCTCTTCTTATGATTCTATGAAGGCCTCAACCTCTGTTCCCTGTTGTTGTACCTCCAGAGGAACTGGTTGGCCAGTGCGTGAGACAGGATGCTGGACTAGACGGACCACTGCTCTGATCTAGCAGGGCTCCTCTTATGTTCTTAACTCTGAAACTCCCTTGTGTTCTTAACTTTGAAACGTCCCTTTCCAGTATAAAATCAGTTTCGTCTTGAAGTTGAACGTAACACTGATCACAGCTGAGAACACAACATGAGCCCAGATATTATCTTTTGAAATACAGCGTTGTAAAATAATGATACAAGACACGGCTATCTCCCCCCCTCCCCTGCATCCACCATTCACATGTCTCATGAATGAATGTAGAAGAGCTCTAAAAGCTGACGTGGAAAAAAGTGATTTCTCAGTGGAAACCTTCTGCAAATGAGGATGTTTCCGGCTGAATTGTTTGCTTTTCTTTCCTTGTTTCCCCCCCCCAGACTCTGCCGCTGATGTTCCTGAGGAAGAAACTTCAAATGGTAGAGACCCATCCGTCTGGCATGTTGGCTTGAAAATAGCGTGGGACATCGAGACCCCGGGGCTGGCAGTACCCCTTCGCCCAGGAGACTGCTACTTTATGCTAGGTAATATTCAAGGGGGATGCTGGCTCTTCTGGCCATTTTTATTTATTTATTATTCAAATGTATATTCTGTCCTCCCCGCAAACGGGCTCAGCACATTTTTGTTGTTGTTCAGTTGCACAGTCAAGTCCAACTCTTCGCGACCCCATGGACAAGATCCCGCCAGGCCTTCCTGTCTTCCGCCGTCCTCTGAAGTTTGCTCAGTTTCATGTTCGTTGCATCTATGACACTGTCTAACCATCTCATCCTTTGCCGTCCCCGTCTTCTTTGACCTTCAATCTTTCCCAGCATCAGGGTCTTCTCCAGTGCGTGCTCCCTTCTCATTGGGTGGCCAAAGTATTTGAGCTCCAGCTTCCGTATCTGACCTTCCAGGGAACAGTCAGGGTTGATTTCTTTTAGGATGGACTGATTGGATCTCCTTGCAGTCCGAGGGACTCTCAGCACATTAGAAGAACGTATCAAAATTTCAACCCTATAAAATGTAGATATAAACAATTTAAACAACGCAAATTAAAACGAAGTCCACTATTGATCCTCGTACGGAGGTTTCCAGCCAGCGCCATTGGTCTTTTGAGCTTCTTAACCTGGGCCGCGTGAGATGGTCGCTCCGGTTTCAGCAGGGGAGGCCGAGATTTTAGTGGACGCCCGCCGCTTCAGCCAAAGGTCTGGTGGAAACACTCTGTTTTGCAGGCCCTGCGGAATGGTAACAAAGCCCACGGGGCCCTGATCTCAGGTGGGAGCATCGTGTTCCACCAAGCCAGGCTAGTCAAGGTTAAGTGGACATCCCTTGGGCTGGGGGTCTTGATTTGCAGAGTGCAAAGCTCTCTGGGGCACATATGGGGAGAGGTGGTCCCTCAGGTATCTCGGTCCCAGGCCACGCAGGGCTTTAAAGGTTTTGCCACCTCTACAACCAGTACAATCAGAAAAGCAAACATGGCCCTGTTTAAACAGAACCTCTGTGTTCAGAGCCAGTTTGGTGTAGTGGTTAAGTGTGTGGACTCTAATCTGGGAGAACGGGGTTTGATTCCCCACTCCTCCACTTGCACCTGCTGATGTGACCTTGGGTCAGTCACAAGCTCTGGCACAGCTGTCCTTGAAAAAGAGCAGTTTCTGTCAGGGTGGCTGTTGTGGGGAGGGGAAGGGAAAGGAGTTTGTAAGCCGCTCTGAGACTCCCAAGTGAAGGGCGGGGTATAAATCCAATCTCTTCTTCTTCTTCTTCTACCTCACAGGGTGTCTGTTGTGGGGAGGGGAAGGGAAAGGAGGTTGTACGCCGCGCTGAGACTCCCAAGTAAGGTATAAAACTTCTTCTTCTTCTTCTTCTTCTTCTTCTTCTTCTTCTATTCCAGTTGCTGAGAGGACAACAGCACGGAGAAGCTTTGGCCTTAGTTCTCTGCTTAAAGACCTTCTAGGGCCTGACCACTGTGGGGAAACAGGATGCTGGACTAGATGAATTCTGAGTCTCGTTCAGTTCTTTGTACACTCTTAGTGGGAGTAGGATAGGTCTCACAGACATCCATTGTGGCACACAAAGGCACAAACGGGCACAACTTCCATTCGAATGTCCACGCGGAGCTCCTCTATTTTACTCAAATGTTCTGGACAGAGTGGAGAAGCCGATCCCTGCCGTGTGGACATCTGAGATCCAAGGATCAGCAGTTGGCGGTCAAAGGCAAAATCTGAAGTGCTACCAGTTAACCCTCCAATTGCAGGACTGGCTCGTGGAGGTTCTTGCTAGCATTCTGTGGTCCTTGCTAGCATTCCAGTTTGCAGGACTAAAGATATGTGGGAGGCCCACCTTGTGTCGCTGTGCAGTGGTTAGACCGGGATCCGGGAGGCCCAGGCTCAAAGCCCCCCTCTGCCATGGAAACTTGTTAGGTGACCTCGGCCCATCCCACAATCTCAGCCTGTCCGTCATAGGGTTGTTACGAAGATAAGATCGCGGTGAGGAGAGTGACGTAAGCTGCTTTTGGGTCCCCATTCTGGGAAAGAAACGAGCATGAATGAAGTAAATAAATGGGATCCCCTTTTCGGGGTGGCCCTCCTAAAAGATAAAATGGTGACTGGCGCCTTTTCTGCGACATCTGTTTACAGGAGGGTTTCCAGGTGCCCCCGGCCACTGGTGGGGTTTGTGGGGGCAGAGGTAACATCTTCAGGTTGGGAAACCTCCTGGGGATTTGAGTGTGAACAGGGACCTCAGTGGGGCACAATGCCGTAGAGTCCACCCTCCAAAGCATTCCTTTTCTTCAGAGGAACTGATCTCTGTAGTGTGGAGATGAGCTCTTATTCCGGGGGATCCTCGGGTCCTACCTGGAGGGTAGAAGAAGACGAGAAGAAGAGATTGGATTTATACCCCGCCCTTCACTACCCAAAGGTGCCTCAGAGCGGCTGACAATCTCCTTTCCCTTCCCCTCCCCACAACAGGCACCCTGTGAGGTGGGTGGGGCTGAGAGAGCTCTGACAGAAAGTGCTCTTTTTCAAGAACAGCTGTGCCAGAATTATGGCTCGCCCAAGGTCATCCAGCCAGGTGCAAGTGGAAGAGTGGGGAATCAAACCCGGTTCTCCCAGATTAGAGTCCGCACACTTAACCACTACACCAAACTGGCTCTCAAGGTATGCCCAGTGTTCCCTCTAAGCTGAGTTAGTGTGAGCTAGCTCACAGTTTTTTATCGCTCAGCAAGGACGGCTCCAGAGCAAACTAATTTAAGCAGCAGCCAAATCGCTCGCTCACAACTTTAATGCCAGAAGCTCACCAAGTAGAATCTTTGCTCACAAGACTCCGCAGCTTAGAGGGAGCATTGGTAGTATTCCTAGTGTATGGACCCCTAGATTTATATGCAGCTGCGTACTAGCAGAGATAGATAGCTAATTCAGATGAATGTGTTGCGATGCAGTGTATTTAACCTCAGTCATTAAACCCCAGGGTGGGACTCTTTTTAAGCTAAATATTGGAATAGCGAGCCTGTTCTCTATTCCCTGGATAGTTATTAATATTATATACTACATCTCATGCTCTGCTGGGAAGCCTATTTAAGGAGCCAGGTCAGGGAAAAAATATTATTTTGCTTTCACAACATAACAACATCCCGATCATGTTTAGATAGAATCAGAAAACACATTAAGAAATTTCTCCCCCCATTTGGGATGTGTAAATCACTCATTCTGGCCAGTACTTTATAGGGGCTCACTGTTTCAAAGCTCCGTAGTATGGGATGTTGCATATTATTTTGTGTCAGTATAAATCATGACCTCTTCACCCCTGCTACTTTCTGACTTGCTTCCCCCCCAAAAAAAACCCCACTATTTGGCAAAGTGCATTAGGGGGTTCCAACTTAAGCTCTGTTTTTCTTTTGGAAAGCTTTGAGTGAATCATGGCTCCCTGTGTGTGCACGGTGGTATTATTTTATTCTGTTCTGCTAGATGAAGTCACACAAAAATCTGGACACACACGACCCGATCAGTTAAACAAGTATAAAGCCAACAATCGTGTTAGTCTGACCCACAATCAAACAGTCATAAGACTTATAAAGAATGCTGTTTATGTATTGCAATCTAAAGCAGTACAACATGATACACAACTCAATAGAAAATCCTTGAACCAAGGTACATAATCAACGTAGTCTCCGGATAACATAACAACGTTTCAAAAAATGGATCTTCTTCAGGAGATATTGTAGTGGTGCCAAAGCTCTCAGTTTCATAAATTTTAGACAACAAGTCTTAAGAATATTAAATTCAGATAGGACGCTGATCTCAATTAAACGTTGTTATGGAATCCGGAGACGACGTTGATTATGTACCTTGGTTCAAGGATTTTCTATTGAGTTGTGTATCATGTTGTAGTGCTTTAGACTGCAATACATAAACAGCATTCTTTATAAGTCTTATGACTGTTTGATTGTGGGTCAGACTAACACGACTGTTGGCTTTATACTTGTTTAACTGCTAGATGAAGTCACATGCCCGATTTGGTAGAGGTTGAATAATATACGATCGGGTCCCCCAGATCTATTCTGTTAACAGGGGTGCTTCCCCCCAGTGCAAGAATGTTTCCCTGGCACGAGAGGTGGTTTACATGCCTCTGAAAGAATATCCAGCATAGAGAAAAAGTCTCTGGGTCCCTGTCGTTTGGCCCTGTCTCCTCGGGATGAAGGAGCCAGTCCCCTCGTCTGAGCTCCTGTAGATCCCGTCCCATCTAGCCTCCTCCAAGCCTTGCATGGCTTCCTTTCTGTCTAGGGAGGCTCATTTCATATTCTTCAGAGAGTGTGGATCTCATGCGTCGGGTCAACGTATGAGATTTTATCAATCCCGGATTCGTATACGGCGGATTTAGGAGGCCCACAGCAATGTGGTCAGAACTGGATGGCTTCTGACAGTGGAATGCAACGTTTATAGCAGACTCCCCACGTGTACTGAATCCAGAGGCAAATTTCTGCATCGTCCATCAATATTTTTAATGCACTAGTCTAAAGCAGGGGTGTCAAGCTTGAGGCCCGGGGGCCGGATCTGGCCCGTCCAGGGCTCTTATGCGGCCCGCAAGCAACTGATGCAAGGGGGGGAGTGCTGGGGGGGGAGTGGGCAGAGCCGCTCCATTGTGGCTTCAGCACAACAGAACAACCTTGTCTGTAGCAGTCAAGCAGTGTGGGAGCGTCTGCCCAGTGCTGCACTGCTGGCTCTCCAGCCCGCCTATGTGGGTTTTCCTCTGTACCCCGCTCCCAGCCCGTGGGGCCTTGCAGTGAGGACACACCAACTCGGAGCTTACCAGCTGCTGTCCGTTATGCAGTTTCTATCTCCGGTACCTGGCATTACATTTTATGGCACACATGTCCCGGTCCAACAAATTGACATTTATGTCAGATCCGGCCCTCGTAACAAATGAGTTTGACACTTCTGGTCTAAGGAAATCAGAAGTTGCCCATTTTAAAAACCACAGCCTCGGAAGGTAGGTGTTTCATTCTCAAATAATCCCGTGTTATACATGTCATAAGTGACATATTGTGGCAGATTGCTTTGGGGGATTAAAAAAAAACAAAACAACCCGACGAAAGAACCGAGGAGAATGAATAGGTTTGTGTGTTTCATTTTTCTTCCCTTTTTATCCCCCCCTTCAAGAATTCCTGAGGTCTTTTGAGCTTGGGTATATAATAAAACTCTTCTTTTTTGCACTGGGAGAAGGAGCGGAAAGGGCTGTTAATGCTGGATCAGTAAAGGTTATCTTAACGCCAGCTTCTTAATCTCTGGCCTCGATATCTTCAGGTCACTGTTAAATAACACCTGGAATTCTGACAGTGTGTGTCACGAGGGGATGATCACCGTGTTCCATAATATCAACACAATATCAAAACAACAAAACATAATATCAAAACAAAGCAGGCGACTTACAATGACCCCGTTGGGTTTTCAAGGCAAGAGACATTCAGAGGTGATGCACAGATCTGTGCCCTGTGTGACCCCTTGGCCAAATTGGAATCACACCGTCGGAGTTCAATGAGTTAGATGAATATCTGTTTATTGCAATTAAAACAGGAAATACAGGACTGAGTACCTTACAGCACTTAGCAACACCAAGCTGTGTCCTGCCTTAACCAGGAAGGGCAGAGGGTCTTACACCCCAAATGCCATCGCATATAATTTACACATTCAAGGACCTTTAACTGGTACCAAGCAGTTAACATCATAAAAGCATAATTTGACTCTAAACCTTACTATTGGTCTCTCCTGATACTGGTCATGTCTGTCAGTGATTGCATTTGTTTATCTGGTCTTCAGAACAATGGGAAACATTAGAGAACACTGGGACCCCCTCTGGCCTCGCTTGTGGAGAGCTAGCTGATAAGGACTATGATTCACATTAAACTTGGCTCTTGGCATCCTTGCAACTCCTGATTCCACCTACGAAGGCATCTTATAAAAAAAAAAATGCAATTATAAAATATGTATGTTCTGCTATAAGTTTCTCTGATCAGAAGATTCTAGGTTACATACCAAGATCTAAAATCTATTATGATTCAACTTTTAAAGGCACAGTGACAGCTGTCGATCTATATATCAAAGAAAAGAGTGTCAGAAATCACATTCAGAAATCACATTCTTTTCCCCTTGTCCTACAGAGGAGGTCTACCATTCCCTGCCTCTGAGTAACAACCCTGGTATTCCTTGGGGGTCTCCCATCCAAACACTAACCAGGGCCGACCCCGCTTAGCTTCCGACATCTGACGAGATCGGGCAAGCCTGAACTATCCCGGTGAGGGCATCAGAAATATATTTAGATGTATCTCAGGAACCCACTGAAAATTGGTCTTGTCCAGAGGTCATTTCGTAGAAAAAGAGGTGCAGGAGCTCATTAGCATAACTCATTAGCATATACCACACCCCCTGACATCACTGGAAGTGTGTCAGAAAGCAACACCCACCGCTCAGGCTCCACTGGACTGTTTTGGATTGCTAGCTATTGGGGGGGGGGGACGTGCAGATCTGTCCTCGCAGAGGAGGGAGAGCTTGTACCTGAATAAAACTTGGTCTTAAAGGTGCCACTGGACTGTTTTGGACCGGGGGGGCGGGCTCTGCAGCTTACCTGGCTGCTTCTTGCTCTGACTGAGGGCTGCTGGGAGCAGGGGGTGGGGCTTGTTGCATGTGGGCTCTTTACTGCCGGAGCTCCGCTCCTGTGTGCTCCTGCAGGAAATGACTCCTGGACTCTTGTCTATTTCCTTTCAGTTACGGAATGCTTTCTTGATAAATGAAATCTGCTCTTCGAGGGGGGGGGAGCTTGCTGAAAAGAGAAACACTTTTGCTCAATTTATTATGTGTGTGTGTTTATAAATATATATCTATCTCCTGGCCCGAAGAGGAAGAATGGGTTGAACTCTGCGGCCTCCCGTCTTCCATCAAAGAGTGTCTGCTAGAAAACATATCAGAGGCGGGCAATAAATCCGCAGCACGTGGAGCTTGACTGGGACAGCCCCATCTGCTGTGCCTTGCAGCAAGTTGTCAAGCTCGTAGCGTTCAATTGAAATCTTTCCCCCTGATCTTTCGGGGCTCGATGCGACCAGATCCGCCAGCAGATTTTACAATTGTCACTAATTTTCCCTACCGTGACTTCAAAAACACATTGAACATATACACTTTGGGGCTCTGTTCAAAGCGGGGAGGAGGAAGACTGCAGCTGTTTCCTATAGATCAAATGTCTCTCGGAGGTTAAATGCAGCTTAAGGATTAATTTAGTGGCGTCTATTTGTGTGTGCGTGTGTGTGGGGGAGAACTGAGCAAATTATACTTCAAGGATGGACCCCCCCCCCCCCAGCTCCCAAATTATTTTCATTAACCAGAAGTTTGGAGCACACGTTTATGGGACTGGCTTGCGGTCGAGGAAGCAATGGGTTAAGTGGGAAAAGCCTTCCATATGTACAGGGAGAGTCGTTCGTTCGTAGTTCCTCCTGGTTATTTGATCCACATACTTTCTGTATCTTTATTCGAGACGACTCGGGTGCTCCAGAAAGTTATTTGTTGTCGCCGGGCTTTGATCATGGAGTTTGGTGAAGCCACTACATCTTGTTCAGTTGTCTGCTAATTAATCGTGTGTGTGTTGTCCTTATGCTCAGCAGTTTTTTTGTTGTTGTCATTGTTACAGAATTATTCCTTATTAGGGGCAATTCGCACTCTCTGGCGGCCGGCATCCCCCCCCCCCCCCCCTCTTCCAGTAGCAAGAAGAGCTGAGCTAGATCGGGAAGGCCATCTAATTCTCCCTTCCTGTGGCCAACAGTGCAGAATCCATGAGCAGGCGTGAAGGCGAGAGCTCTTCCATCTTCTTTTGTCCCCAGCAGCTGGTATTCAGAGGTAAAGGTAAAGGTTTCCCTTGCTCGAAAGCCAGTCGAATCCGACTCTAGGGATGCGGTGCTCATCTCTGTTTCCAAGCCGAAGAGCCAGCGATGTCCGAAGACATTTCCGTGGTCATGTGGCCGGCATGTACAAGCTCTCCCTCCTCTGTGAGGGCAGATCTGCACATTCCCCCCCCCCCAATAGCTAGCAATCCAAAACAGTCCAGTGGAGCCCGAGCGGTGGGTGTTGCCTTCTGACACACTTGGCCTGGGCTGCGGTGGCTCAAGTGGTTAAGACGCTGAACTGCAGACCGGAAGGTCGGTAGTTCGGCAGTTCGAGGCCCAAGTGCTGCATGACGGAGTCAGCTCCCATCTCTGGCCCCAGCTCCTGCCAACCTAGCCGTTCGAAAGCAAGACATCGCAAGTAGATAAATAGGTACCGCTTCGATGGGAAGGTAACAGCGCTCTGTGTGCCTCGGCGTCTAGTCATGCTAGTCTAGCCACATGACCACGGAAACATCTTCGGACAGCGCTGGCTCTTCGGCTTGGAAACGGAGATGAGCACCGCATCCCTAGAGTCGGATCCGACTGGCTTTCGAGCAAGGGAAAACTTTACCTTTACCTTTACTATGACTTGGCCTGGCAACCAATATGCCTCCTTTCCCAGAGTGTTCAAGAGAATCGGGGGGTGTTTTCCCTTTCTCTTTTCCCAGTTTGGGTGCCCTACCTTCCTTCCACCCTCTTGCCTAACTCTTTCTACCTTGTCAAGAATTACTTGCTGTCGAAATACAAAGGATAAGCAGAGACATAAAAATACAACAGGATGAGGCAACGGAGGGACACGGCAAAAGGAAGATTATCTCACTAAATCCCAATGAGTTTTATAGCTCAAACGTTAGAAACGTGTTAATATGTGAAAAAGAGATCCCGATGAATCACGGATACTAGACCAGTATCTGTCTGTGATCGCGAGGGTAGCCGAAGATTGTTTAAAAATCCAGTGTGGTCTTAGACGAAAGAGATTCATAACGTGGGTTTAACCCTAATGAAAACCTTCTCCAGGACTGGTGTAGTGAGATAATATTATGCCGTGCTTGATGTTAAATATCTAAAGAAAAATTAACAAGACAGAATACTGAGATTAAAGAAAGAACGATGCAGAGAAAGGGGGAAATAAAGGAGAAGCGCCAAATGCTTTTATCGTAATTGGGCAAATGGGTTCATTCTCTGTCCCGCTTTGTTTTGAACCTCCCAGGAGAGACAGCCAGGAAGTATTGCTAGACCCGGCAGTGACACTGTAGTGAACAGTTAGAGGAAACCTTTGTTATATATCACAGACTGGGGAGGATACAACGGTGGGAGGAGCCAAGAGGCAGGAACAGACAATGCCTCCATTCAGGGTTCTATGTGCATTCCAGACAGACAGGTTTTGCTTCTTCATTAGGTGGCCTTTCTTCCTTTCATTGAGAGTTCAGCTCCAGGCATGTAACATTGGATCAAAACAATGGGGTGGATCCACGTCACCATGCCTCCCACGGGGCGAGCTCTTCGGCTTTTAGAGTGGTTCTTTCCACTTACGGAAGGACTCTTTTGGAACTGGAAGACCACCTTTAGAATCCAACCCCACCATCCTTTGCATGGGGGCCGCAGTCAGTGTTCCCTCTAAGCTGAGTTAGTGTGAGCTAGCTCATAGTTTTTTAGCCTCCGGCTCACAGATTTCTGTCTTAGCTCAGGAAGGGATGGCTCCAGAGCAAACTGATTTATGCAGCAACCAACTCACTCGCTCACAGCTTTAATGCCAGTAGCTCACAAAGTAGAATTTTTGCTCACAAGATTCCACAGTTTAGAGGGAACATTGGCCGCAGTAGACTATATACGTATTTTTCACACTTCTTTTTTTCCCATAATTTTGTCCCCAGATGACCAGAATATGACCCACCAGCACTGTGTACTTGCAGGCCTGTGTCCAAGATTCAGTTCTACCCATAGAGTAGCAGAGGTGAGTACGAAGATGGGTCTTCTTTTAAAGTTTATTATTTATTTATTTATTTGGATTTCTACCCCACCCCCCTAGCCAAAGCCAGCTCAGGTTATTTGTTACTTGATGGTAGCCCAATAACAATTACTGTTGTTATCATCCACTGGTATCTTCACAACCACCCCTCCCTTAGCATCTGCAATGAAATGTCTTGAAGGAAGCATTACATTATTTAGTTACAGCTAAAAAAATCCCTTGCCTTCCCTCCGATTTGCTGCTAGTTCCAATTCTACTTGGAGGAGGGAGGTCCACATCCTCCCTTGATTAGAGTAATAGAGTCATCATTAGGCTTTCTTTTCCCTACTAGTTCCTTTGCCTGTCAAATCCTTGGCAAATCTATACCACGGTCTTACTATGACCCTTTTCAAACTGCCTTTGTATTCCGTTCTAGTAACTGGCAGCTAATGGATTTTCTCTGTCATTTCAGACAGACCTGTTTTAGTAACAGGCCGCTAGTGGAATTTATTTACCTGTTCATACAAACCTGCTTGCATCAGGGTAGCAAAGTGTGGTTGAGCCACTTTTGAGGGAAATGGCCTTTTCCTGTTTTCAACCCCTTTGTTACGCTTCTGAATCACTGTGGCGTGCTGTTTAAAATGTCCAGAGCACTTCCTACGGTGCCACTTTCCCCCCACCCTGTTTGGCCATGCAGTCTTCTCTGGGCTTTTTTTTAACATTCTAAAATGAGAGCTATAGCTTCAATGCTGAAAAGGCCTCGTCTCATGTGACCACCAAACAAGCTTCTTTGATTGGTGGAACAGTCAAGGGGGGCTCTCCCTGCAATCTTTATTTCCTGAGCAGTACATGTATCGGAGAAGATGACCCTTTAGATCAGGGGTGTCAAACATGTGGCTTGGGGGCCGAATCAGGCCCATGGAGGGCTTTTATCAGGCCCGCAGTGGAACTGGCTGTCTACCTAACTGGCAGCTTCCACACACTATTCAAGTGTTGCTGCAAGTAGAGTGTATTGCAGTAGGTCCAGTTTAGACGTAACTAATCATGGAGTTCCTGCCAACCTAGCAGTTTGAAAGCAAGAAATTGCAAGTAGATAAATAGGTACCACTTCGGTGGGAAGGGAACAGCGTTCTGTGCGCCTTGGTGTTTAGTCATGCCGGCCACATGACCACGGAAATGTCTTCGGACAGCGCTGGCTCTTCGGCTTGGAATCAGAGATGAGCACCGCAACCCTAGAGTCGGACTCGACTGGCTTTCGAGCAAAGGAAGCCTTTACCTTTTTAAATCATGGAGTACTGGCTAGAACTGACTGAACCAGGAATGGGTGCAGTCGATGCACCAGCCAAAGCTGGGCAAAAGTGCTCCGAGCCACTGCAGCCGCTTGGTTCATGTGCTCAAAGGTGCTATAGGTCCCGGTCACATGGGCCGGAAAATGCGGGGGGGGGGAGCGTGGCTGTTAGCCCCAGAGCAAAGTAACACGCAGCAGCCCGATCGCATGTCCCGCCAAGGTCCCGTGGTTAGGCCATTAGGTGCCGATCACACGGCTATCCTGCAGCGCGGCAAAGAAGCGGCGAGGCGCGATCACACCGGCAATCGCTAGGCGCCGCTTCCGCGGCAAACGGGAATTTTTTTCTCGCCGAGGTTTGCGCATGCGGATGATCGTTTGTGTGCATCCTGTGGAGATTTACAAAAAAACCCCGGTTTGCGACGGGACATGGACGGGCAGCGGATGCCACGGGATTCATGTGGAAATGCGATCAGATGCCCGCTTGTGCCCCACGTTTTCTGGAAACTAGTACCTCGTATGTGGTAGTTTCTTACTCCGCATCTTTGGCGAGAAGCCACGGGTTAGCCACGGGTGTGCTACGCCTCCCAGATATTCCGATGTGATCGCGCTCGGAAAATCCACGGGACGAATGTGCCTTCAGAACAGCAAATGCTCCGTGTGAACGGGGCCATACAAATGCTGTGACCTCCCCTGCCCCCCCCAAGTGTGCTAAATGTCACTTAAAAGGTTCTTTGTTTGCAGTCTGGTACTGTGTTGTTCCGTTATTAAAATGCACATTTACTTCCAGAGTCACACTGTTCAAGGAAAAACAAAAAGCTTCCTCTATAGAAGCCTCTCTTTTGTTTTTATAAACCTTTGCGACCTCACGTTACATCGTATGGAAATTCTCGATACAAAGAATTAGAACATTAAGGGGTCCTTTCTCAAGGGTGTTCTCGGGGACTGAACGGCACTTATAAATATTAAACTGAGGAAAATAATTCTGATAGAGACACAGCCTTGTGCCCCGAAAAGGAAAGGGGGGGAAAAAAGGGGCCATTTTATGTTTTTGTTCTTTCAGTAGCGAAGGAACTTTGGTTGAAAAAGCAGAGGGAAGAACCAACGGGGTCTGTACATGTGTGTCCTCTTCAGTTGGAATATATTTTGAAACACACGGATCTTCTTTGAGCCGGTTCTTATTTGCTCACATATCAGTGAAGAACCTCAGGCACAGCAGAGTTCGGAATGTTCTAGAAAGCACCTTTGGGGCTCTGGGAAAGAGGCAGTGGCCTTTCTCAGCCATGATGTTTGTAATTCCTACTACAGTTTAAATCCACTATTACACCAGTGTATTGATGATAGGAAGGAGAAGGTCAGAGAAGGATTTGCCTGTTGTGCTACAATGTCTTTGAAGACTGTGCCTCCTTAAGTCATTCTCAGTAGTGCAGTCTGATGGGTGGGAGTCATAAGAGGGTCAGTGGTTTGAAGTGATTCTTCGCCGGGAGTGGGGGGCTCCCGGCCGGTGTCGGGTGTGTGTGCTTCACCCGGAAGTGACGCAGGCACGCTGGGCATGCTGGGGGCGGGGCCACCATAGGGTTTTCCCTTGTATGGCCGTGGCCTCACCCCCAGCGTGCCCAGCGTGCCTGTGTCACTTCCAGGTGACGCGCACGCCGGGGCAGAGTTCCCCCCGGGGCCCAATTCCACGGCGGCGGAAATTGGGCCTCCGAAGCGGGGGTTTACCCGCCACCCGCCCCCACTTGGCAGTCCGACCTGGGTTCGACTCCTCAGTAGCCATGGTTTTCACTGGATGACCTTGGGCCACTTACTCTCAGCCTGAAAGAGCAAGAGTAAGAGTAACAAAATATGTGGCAGGGTATGAGCTTTCTTGAGTCACCGCTCATTTCTTCAAATCCAGCTAGGATTGTGTGATTGGATTTAGGTGAGATATGCAATCCAGCAGTCTCTCTTTCTAATCTCCCTTCGAGTTTCCTTTGTAAGAGAACTGCTACTTTTAGGTCACCAGCTGAATGTCCTGCAATTGATAATGAAGCTCAGGACAGTGTATCCACCTGGACTGAATCGAGACCTAGGTTTCCTGTCTTGTTTCTAATGCTGATTTCTTCACATCTATTATCCCTTTGCATAGCTCACCTAAATCCAATCCTGCCTGCTGTTGTTATTTATTTATTATTTTCTATTTACATCCCACCTTGCCTGCACAGGCAATTGCTGTATAGTGATCCGGTGACATCTTTGAAAACGTAATGAAAATACATTTGCTCACAGTATGCCAACCTGCTTGTAATCTGATTACCCCGTTCACATTCTCCGTTACAAGGCATAACATTTTGTTTGTATGGCTTTTAAAAAAAGTAAATGTTCCGTCTTTGTCCACTGATATCTTTGGGATATGTTTCAGTGCTCCAAAGGGACGCTGCACTACATTTTGGGCCAATGCAACAAAGCGCTCCAGAACCTACAAACCGACACCGATTTGAAGGGCAGGTCTTTGCAATCTCTGGATGTCGCAGTCATAAAACGAGCGGAGGAAATTCATAATGAGGTGAGGAGGGGGTTTATGTTGACAGGAAAACTCTGGGGGTTGCATGGAACAGGCTTTCCGTACATGGCGTTGTTAGCCAAAGGGCCACAGGTCTGCAGCAGAGCGTATGGATGCTTGCAGAAGGTTCTATGCAATAGCGTGTGTGTGGAAAGTGACATCAAGTTGCAGCTTGCTTATGGTGACCCGTGGGGTTTTCCAGGCAAGAAATGTTAACATAGAAATAGAAGAGAAGCCATGCTGGATCAGGCCAATGGCCCATCCAGTCCGACACTCTGTGCCACACAGTGGCCAAAAACACCAGGTACCATCAGGAGGTGTAATAATTGTAACAATATGATTGTTTTATCTTGTTTTTATCTGGGTTTATGTGTTTAATGTATCTCGGCACATAGTGCCGCTAAATGTAAGCCGCCCTGAGCCCGTTTGCAGGGAGGGCGGGATAGAAATCTAATAAAATAAAAGGAGGTCCAGCGGTAGGTCCAGAACTCCAGAAGCCCTCCCACTGCTGCCGCCAAGCACCAAGAATACAGAGCATCACTGCCCAATAGTGTTCCCTCTATACCTTGTGGCTAATAGCCACTGATGGACCTCTGCTCCATATGTTTATCCAATCCCCTCTTGAAGCTATGCTTGTAGCTGCCACCGCTTCCTGCAGCAGTGAATTCTGAGTGTTAATTACGCTTTAGGTGAAGAAGTGCTTCCTTTTATCCATTCTAAAGCTACTGCTCATTGATTTCATTGAGCGCCCATGAGTTCTTGTAGTATGAGAAAGGGAGGAAAGTACTTCTTTCTCTATCTTCTCCAGCCCATGCATAAATGTGTAGACCTCTATCATGTCTCACCTCAGTCATCTCCATCTCCTTAATCATTTTAGTTGCCCTTTTTTTTGCATCTTTTCCAATGCTGTAATATCTTGTACACTGTATTCATTCATTCATTCATTCATTCATTCATTCATTCATTCATTCATTCATTCATTCATTCATTCATTCATTCATTCATTCATTCATTCATTCATTCATTCATTCATTCATTCATTCATTCATTCATTCATTCAGAGTTGCTGCATGACGGAGTGAGCTCCAGTCTCTAGTTCCAGCTCCTGCCAACCTATCAGTTCGAAAGCAAGAAATTGCAAGTAGATAAATAGGTACCACTTCAGTGGGAAGGTAACAGCGTTCCGTGCGCCTTGGTGTTTAGTCATGCTGGCCACATGACCACGGAAACGTCTTCAGACAGCGCTGGCTCTTCGGCTTTGAAACGGAGATGAGCACCGCAACCCTAGAGTCGGATTCGACTGGCTTTCGAGCAAGGGAACCTTTACCTTTATATAAAACATTGTGTCGTAAAATTAAAATCTAAGATTCCATACATATTTAGTACAATCAAAATAGTACTATCTAAAATTTTGTACCTTAAGAACTTCGGTAAGAAACTTGGCAACATCATTAGCGATCTCAGGGATCGAATCATTCAAGAGAAGCTGACATTTTAACTTGTTACTCAAATAACTTTTTGGATGAAGCCAAGTTAGAAGGAATTTTCTGCGAGGTAGCTCATACAGGGGGCATTTGGCAATTATATGCTCAATCGTGTCCAGGGAATTAAGTTCATAGGGGCACAACCGTTCTTGTCTTGGGATTTGATGATATCTGCCATAGAGTATTTTAGAGGGAAATGCGTTAACTAGGGCTATTTTTGGGCAGGAACGCACAGGAACGGAGTTCCGGCTGGCTTCAAGTTGGCCACCCCCACTACAGCCAAAACCTCTGCATGCGTGGCTACAGAGGGAAGGCCTGGAGAGCAAACCTCCCCCTGGCCAGTCTGAGGCGGGCAGGCCGGGGGGGGCTGGAAGGATCGGAGAGGCATTTAAATGCCTCCCCATGGCTTCCCCGGCCTGTCTAAGGACCACGGGGTGCCTGGGCAAGCCAAGAGAATGCATGGGGGTGTGGCCTAATATGCCAATGAGCTGTGCTTTCAAGGGTGTGGCCTAATATGCTAATTAGCTTCTGCTGTTAGGTGTGGCCTATTATGCTAATGAGTTCCTGCTGGGATTTTTCTACAAAAAAAGCCCTGGCCGTTAACCCTGGTCAGAGAAAAGCTCTGCGAGGAAGAGGGATGTCGAGATTATAGAAATATTGGGGCATCTTGCCTAAATGGTTAGAGAGGCTGAGCATGGCAGGTGAACAGATATGAGGTTGGGTAGGGTGCAGGGGTCGTTTCGTAGAAAAAGAGCTAGGGGAACTCATTAGCATAACTCATTAGCATTTGCCACACCCCCTGACATCACTGGAAGTGTGTCATAAGGCCACACCCCCTGACATCACCGGAAGTGTGTCATAAGGCCACACACCCCGCCCCCAATGGTCCCGGCCGCCGGAAGCAACTTACCCTCCCTCTTCTCCTGCCTCCTCCTGGCTGAATGAGGGCCGGAAGCAGGGGGCGGCCGGAAGCAAGGGGCGGGGCTTCGTCATGTGCCCCACCCTCGTACCTCACCCGGGGGAACTGCCCCCTCGAAATGACCTCTGGTAGGGTGTAACTTTTGCAGATCAATATCTAAGAGTCGTTGTTTGATTAGTTTAAAAATATGAGGCTCATTGGTTAGGGTTAGGTCTTCAAGAGGAACGCCCAGTTGACTTAATTTAGATATAATTATGGGATCCCCGGAGGAATTATGCAGTTCTTTTTGCAAAATGGATTCCAAATGAGGTCACACCGTAGATTTATACAGGGGCATTATGATACTGGCTGATTTGTTTCCAATCCCCTTCCTGATAATCCCCAGCGTAGCATGTTCAGAGGTGGGTTGCCATTGTCTGCCTCTGCGTAGCAACCCTGGGCTTCCTTGATGGTCTCCTATCCAAGTACTAACTAGGGCTGACCCTGCTTGGCTTCCGAGATCAGAAGAGATCAGGCTAGCCTGGGCAGTCCAGATCAGGGCATTGTTTAAGGTATATAGGTGGGTATCATAGGTAAGCCCCATTTATTATCGAGACCTGCCGGGTCAAACGCAGCTGGTGGGACCCCTCTCATAAGAACATAAGAGAAGCCAATGCTGGATCAGGCCAATGGCCCATCTAGTCCAACACTCTGTCACACGGTGGCCAAAAATACCAGGTGCCATCAGGAGGTCCACCAGTGGGGCCACGACACTAGAAGCCCTCCCACTGTTGCCCCCCCCCAAGCACCAAGAAGACAGAGCATCCCTTGCCCCAGACTGAGAGTTCCTGTTTATTTGTCGTTGTTCAGTCGCACAATCGAGTCCGACTCTTCGCGACCCCATGGACCAGGTCACGCCAGGCCTTCCGGTCTTCCGCCGTCCTCTGAAGTTTGCTCAACTTCATGTTCGTTGCATCTATGACACTGTCTAACCATCTCATCCTTTGCCGTCCCCGTCTTCCTTGACCTTCAGTCTTTCCCAGCATCAGGGTCTTCTCCAGGGAGTGCTCCCTTCTCATTTGGTGGCCAAAGTATTTGAGCTTCAGTTTCATTATCTGGCCTTCCAGGGAACAGTCAGGGGTGATTTCTTTCAGGGTTGACTGATTTGATCTTCTTGCAGTCGAAGGGACTCTCAAGAGTCTTCTCCAGCACCATAGTTCAAAAGAATCTATTCTTCGGTGCTCGGCCTTCTTGTCTATACTTTGTGGCTAATAGCCACGGATGGACCTCTCTCAAGTCCCTAGTGAGCCAGAAGACATAATTTGGGGGCACCTACATGACTCGATAGGACTTCTGTTTTGGCTCCCTGTGAGTACTGTGCAGGGCTTGTCAGATACCTGGAGGGGGTCCCAAGACACGTAGCTGCAGACCCGCCCCAGTTTTGCCTTCTGAGGCCTAACCACCTTGCGTTTGGATAATTGCTGCTACATTTTCTGCACACACCCCCAGTGTACATTTCCCCCATGTGTTTCAATTTGTACTGCAGCCCTATTAGACTGGATCTCATCCGCATGCGAAAAGGGAGTCGCCCATGTGCTGGCCTCTTGGTTCCCTTTGCGAATGTTAGCATTGGGATTAATTCCATACGACAGCATTTCCCCCCCCTTCCCCTTAGCAAGTCCTTTTTCTGCCACACATGTGGGCAACTTATCTGTGGTTTACATTGCTGTGGAGACACATTTCTTTACCAAACCCTGCTGTAAACGGGAAGCATAGACATCTGCAGCGCTAATGCAGGTCTTTGATTCCCGTTTTTTTGAAAAAGAAAAAGAAAAGAGAGGAAGACCGCATGCTTTTTGTACACTAATTATAGGGTAACTTTGGGTAGGTTCATGGCCTAATACAACTGGTATGTTCCTAATCTGCGAAGCATGTGTTTGAAGACAACCTCGATTTTATATCCTAAATCCTGGATTTAACGCGGTGATTCCAGAAGACTACTTTTTTCTTTTTTTTTTTGAAGTGCAGGGACTTCTGATGATTAAAAACAAGGGAAACGGTGATCGCGAATGCAGATATTGGCAAATGTCTTGGTGTTGTCTCTCTCCTCCGTAAATGAGTTAAGTCTCCCGCGCGTGATGGACTAAAACAATGTCCCTGTTAAATGGCAACAGATTAAAAATAAATGAAAGTACTTTCAAGTATTGCGGAAACAAATGCCGTCTTAGGAGGCTTCCCTTTCTCCAGCTCTGCTTTCCCGCAGCTGAGCAGGGAATTGAACCTGATTATCCCAAAGCCTAGCCCTGGGGTCCCGAACCTTTTGAAGCCTGCAAGCCCCTTTGGAATTCTGGCGTCAGGTATTGTGTTGGGCGCAATAACAAAATGTCTGCCGAGAGGAGGTGGAGCCAACCATAAAATGTCAGGGAGCGAGGCGATATATATAACTCTAATAATACCGCTTCAGCATTTCAGGCTGAAACTCTGTTGAACAGGATGCGTTTTAGGGAGATTCCAAGATGGCGCCAACCAAGCAGCAGCTTTTGTGCGTTCTCCAGTAAGGAGAGAAATAAGGAATCAACTATCTCCTATTATATTACTGCCTATTACTTCTATTTATCCAG